AACAGAAGTACAAAAGAATGTTTTATATTCTGTATAGTGCAAAACCGTTTCAACAACAAACAAAAACATTTCTCAAATTTTCAACAAAATCAAAATAAAGTGGATGTTATACCCAGTACTTCAAGTAAAATTAGTCATTTAGACATAAAAAATTCAATGTTGCCTAAAATATTATAGTGTAACGGGACCTTAAGGGGCTTAAGCTGCACATAGTCCTGTCATAAAACAATTTCAGATACCGTTTTTTTCGGACTATAAGCCGCACCGGACTATAAGCCGCATGGTTCAAAGTTCAGGAAAAAAGTCGCGGCTTATTGTCCGAAAAATACGGTAACTGGAGTGTAAGTGTGGTGAAGCCAAAATAAATGTAACATCTGCCTGCCATACAATGAACTTCTGCCTGCTGAACTTATCGGCTGCTGCTCTGCTGCATTCTCATCTTCATCATCTTCATCATCAGAGCAGAAGCCGACTTTAGGCTACATTAGCAAGATGGATTTACGACTGAACCAATGTCCAAGTCTTTTTTTATCACCTCTGTGGGTAACAATACATAAAAAACAAGTTTTTTCTCTGACAACTTGGGTGTGGAAAAACTACGGTTGTTAAAGCATCGCTCTGTGCGACATGCAGCAGGAGGGAGAGAGGAAATGATCCCGCATCCCCGCGACACAACGTAACTTTTCTACAGCGGCAGGGGGAAATTTTGAGGATTTATTCTCTCTATATGTGTTTTAAAACACTAGAATTTCTTCATTATATTTCAAACTCCTCCTCAGTTGTCTCTGCGCTCACAGTCCTGTTCACACAGGTGCGATGACGTAATGACGATAGGACAGTAGAGGGTAAATCACTACCGTAAGCCAACTGGGCCTATTATCCAAATATGATTTGAGGTTTCCCTTTTCAAATGACATCAAGATATTTCATTTGAATACATTAAAAATAAGATTCAGAACTATTTTCCAAGGGTAAGGCCCTTTTAATAAGACAAATCAAATCATATCTTTTAGTGTTGTCAATCACCAGCTTTATCAAGATACATATATTAATTTGTTTGGATGATCATTCAATGTTTCTCAATGAAAGTCTCTTATGGTAGGATTTTCATTCAAATCTGCAATCAATATGTCCTCGTCTGGGCATATGATGATGACATGGATCAATGTTTTCGTTTTGCCTCGATGCAATTGAATAAATAAATCGATGTGAATCAATGTATTCTTACACCACTAATACTGCTAGAACCAATATCAGAACAATAAAAATCTGAAAAAGTGCTTTATTGATTTTGACCAAATCAGACTTGATACTATGTGTGTTGTCTACAAATGTTTGAGGTTTGAGTTGTTTTGTTTTTCATAAATTGGTCCTTTCTTCAGTAGCAGTTCAGAATTTCTCCCTATTTTCCAAGCTAAAATCACTGATTGCTGTCTACTGCAGGTAGGATACTGACTATTCATAACTACTCCATGTAACCCCACTTTAAAAAGACTAAGTAAAGATAAACTGAAGACCAAGATAGTGTTGGGCAATAAATAGGGCAAAAAAAAATTAACCACGATTAATTGTGGTATTTAGCCGATAACGATTAATTTGACGATTAATCCCCTGGAGTCCCTGGACACCCTTATGTCCTAGTCACATGACCAGTTTTGTAGGAAAGATTTGCGCTTCGGGCTATACATCACATTTTAAATTGTTGATAGATAAATAAATTACAGAACTTTTTTTYATATTCATCATATTTGAAGCAGAGAGGAGCATCGAGCGGACCGACCGGAGTAATTCCCACCAGTCTGCATGGTGGCATTAATCGTATTAATCGTGAAGTGTCAAAAACTTATCGATTAATGTTTTTCTGACGATTAATTGCACACGATACGATTATGCCCAACCCTAGACCAAGATGACTTCAAAATCTTTTCAGCTAACTGTCTTTGGTGACTTTCCAGTTTAAATGGCTTTAAGGTTTTATGACTTTTCTATCAAAAAATCTAAATAACTTAAGTAAATTTTAATAAAATTATTGGAGAAACAAATCATAGTCTGCGATCAACTCAGTTGTATTTTGTTGAAAGTTTTAGTATTCAATAGATCAACTTGGTTTGTAATTTTTTAAACCTACAGTATTTAAGTACTATTACTATTTAAGTGTTTTATTTTTCAAATAAAACAAAGAGAAAACTGAAGAAAAATGCAATATTTTTTTATCAGACTAAGATTTGTTTTTGTAAGTTTGTTTTAACTTGTTATTCAAACCAACAACAAAGGAAAAGTCCAAAATTTTACATTAGTTTTACTCTGTGAAATAGTTTTGATGCATCTGCTGATTGTTTATAATTTGTTTTCAGTCTCAGGTTTTCCAGAGCAGATCTGTGTCTGTCGTGCTTTAACCTGTGGYCTGTACATCATTCTTAATAAACACCTGTGTGTCTCCAGGTGCACAAAGTGGTCCTGGCGTCCTGCAGTGCTTACTTCAGAGCCATGTTCACCAGGGGCTTCAAGGAGTGCAGCGCCTCRGAGGTCACTCTGCGCGACGTCTGCCCCGAGGTGGTGGGCAGACTGATRGACTTCGCCTACACGTCCCGCATCACCGTGGGGGAGAAGTGTGTGCTGCATCTTCTTCTGGCAGCTATGAGGTGAGTGAGCTGAAATACTGAAAACAGTTTTCTTTTGGATTACGTTCACGCCGCAGGTCTAAACTCTCAATTTAGATTGGGCAAAATTGTTTCGTGCGCAATTAATCTTTGGAAAACTATCACCGATGAATATTTGAAGCTTTGCATTAAAATGTATCCCCCCCCACCCCACGTGAAAAGATAACTCCGCCCCAAGGTGAAATTTGAAAAGTGCATCAAAGTGGGTAGGGGAGGGGGGTTAGAGAGCGGAGGTGTGGCCAGGATGAGAGAATGTGACAGGCAGCTAGCATTAGCATAATTGATGCTACATGGAGAGTGACCACAGTATCGCAGATAGTTACATCTCTGAACGTCTGAGGTGGAGGATTTTCATGAGCAGCAAAAACACATTTTTAGACCAAATATTACAGATTTGAACAAATACGCACAAAAACATCAAAATTAGCACAGAAACAGTACTATATAACATTTTAGACACATTCTAGACAGTTTATCAGTTAAAATAAGTTAATTTTGGGGTAAGTTACTCTTTAAGTACGATTGGTGCCATCAGGTGGACTGATCTAACGGGTTTCCTCAGTTGTCTGCTCGGAGCTGCGCCTCACTTCTTCTAAAACAACACGATGGATCAGTGGTTAGAACRGATGCCTCACAACAAGAAAGTTCAGGGTTCGATCCACAGTTCGAAACTCCGATCTTTTTTGCGTGGAATTTCCACGATTAGGGGTTGCATGTTTGTTCGACGAGGATGGGGGTGAGACCAGAAGGTGGAGTGGATTTTTTTTCCATGTATCTGCCCGTCTTTTGCTGCCGCAACGTACTTCAAATATGACAATATATTAATTTTTTTTAAGTGCAGCAAATTATTTATTATAACTCCAGTTTTACCTGTCCTCTCAACACAATGTAAAAACTGGTGTGTAGCTTGAAGTCTGTACTTTTGACACAAATTGTACCAGAGTCCTAGAGATGGCTTATCGTCCACGCTTAGAACAGTGCTTCACAAAGTTGGGTTCATGAAACATCAAGTGTGGGTCCCCAGATGATTTCCAGACATCAATTTAAATGCAAATAAACTGCTCATGGAATATTTTCATCATAATTATTGCTAAGAAAATACAATAATCATAATGAATAAAAGTAGTTTCTTAATTGTTAGGTTTGTTTATTGTGTTTAGTTAGCAAAGTTTTCATACCAGTAACATCTGATGTCACCAGTTTCTGCAACTGTTAGTTTGTGGGCCGTAAACCTCTGCATGTCATGTGACTCATCCCAGGACTCCAGGGGATTAATTGTCATATTAAACATAATCTGCTAAATGCCACAATTTATAAAGATCACTTTTTATTTGGAACAATGTTGCCAGAGGTTTCAAGTAACTAAGTACAAATACTTTACTTTACTTAAGTAAAAATTTTGGTTATTTGTACTTTAGTGGAATAATTATTTTTCAGCCTGCTTTTTACTTCTACTCCTTACATTTTAGTTCAATTATCTGTACTTTCTACTCCTTAGTTTTTAAAAATTCAAAAAAGTATTTCATTTCTATTTAACTTTGACTTGTTTTTATTCCACCTTTTCATTGTTCAGAAAAAAATAAATCAATAGACATGTATCCAGATACATGGAGCCCATGGATAGAGTGAATTTGATTGTGATTGAATGAGAAGTGTAAATATAAACCGTTCTGACATCCTGTTGGAGTGAACTCACTCCATCATGTTTGACACAAATCACGTCACAGTCCAGCAGGACATACTGTAGCAGATGTAGCCTAGAATGAAGATTATCGTGGCTGAAGCTAGTCTTAATTCAGATTTTTTCAACATTAACATTTTAATTTAACATTATACTCATTATTGACTTTAGAAGAAAAAAAGGTGGGGTACGCTATAGAACCCTGTGGCACAGCCTCAGCTTTTATCCTAAATGGCTTTTTTTAAGTGTTCATTACTTTTACTTTTATACTTTAAGTAGTTTCAAAATCAGTACTTTCTTACTTTTATTTGAGTAAAAAGCTTGAATTGATACTTCCAAAAAAGTATWTTTAAACCCTAGTATCTATACTTCTACTGTAATGAATGTGAATACTTTTGACACCTCTGAATGTTGCCCAACTCTACTCTGATCCAAATTTTCTTAGTGTGGTMGTTGAAATGATGATTTGAATAATTCATATCGTATCATTCATACAGCACTTWAGCCTGCTGTGTGAGCGTAGCACTGACGCTCTCTCTGAAGGTTGCAGATGGAGGACGTGGCCAAAGCTTGCTGTGATTTCCTCACCAAACACCTGGAGCCGGCTAACGTCATCGGCATCTCGCGCTTCGCGGAGGAGATCGGGTGCACAGAGCTGCACCAGACGTGCCGAACGTACATCAGCTCACACTTCAGCGAGGTGAGGTGACATCCTGGAGCCTTTGCTGCTGATTAACTCGTGAGCTTGTACTCTGTCTTTATTATATGATCCTGAAGAAGTCTGACGACATGAACTTTAGGTTCTGATCACTTTGAGAACAATCAAGCRGTAATAATTAGGGCTGTGTATTGACAAGAATTTGYRGATACGATYCATATCATGACAGAGGGGTCACGATACGATARATCCCGATATATTGCGATACTGTAAGCAAGGTGATACATTGCGATTTTTTTTGGTCCAAAAATTCTATTAAATAAAAACCTCTAACTGGAAAAAAATGAAAAACCAAAATTCATTGTCTCAGAAAATTCTATTACATAGACATGCGCTAGCCTTCTGCAACGTGAAGGCTGACTAAAGTTGGAAAAAAGAGCGCACGAGATGCTTAATTTGGTTTAAAATAGAAACATTCTGACAAATAAGTAACTGTTTGTAACCTTACCTCAGCTTAGAAGGCAGAGGGTGTCGGTCTTTTCTGCTCAGATTCAGCTATCGGWGCATGAAGCTAATGTTTACTCACAATGRTAATGCTACCGTTACTCTCTGGTGCTCAAGAGGTAGAGGAGCCAAATGGCTGGCTCACTGCTGCCAACTAGTGGTCAGAGGCTGAACTACAACATAAAAATGAACGGCTGGCAGGAAAGTTGACGTTTTAAACCTTAATTAAATATCGATACAAGACTTTAGAATATCGATACAGTATCGGAAAATGAAATCGCGATATTTCAGTGTATTGATATTTTCTTACACCCCTAGTAATAATTCATATCAAATACCTGACATATTTGGTTCTTCCTGCTTCCTGCTCAAATGTTACACACAGTCTTTTTCAGCATTAAAACAAAGTTCTCATTTCTTTTCCCACATTTTTGTCTTCATGCTGCAACAGTTTCCCCCTGCTAACCATTTTAATGTAGCTGTCGTCTTGAACTAGCCGAGTGAACTGAATCTGCTGCCATGTTTCTTCATCCAGGTGACCAAAGTAGAGGAGTTCTTCAGCTTGTCTCACTGCCAGCTGCTGGAGCTCATCAGTCAGGACAGCCTGAAGGTGCTCTGTGAGTCTGAGGTACGTGAAGTCATCCTAAAACATCTGGTTCAAGAAAAAAATACACAGAATAAATTAAAACTAGCATTCTTTAGAGAAATGCAGATAGCCTGAAAAGTCTAATAAGTCTTTCAACGCTCAGGCTATGTGARTGAGATGAGTCTCAGCTACTACCACGCCAAATTTTAGCTCAATGGGCCTCATGCAAGAACGTGTTCGTATTCTTATCCTAAATTTCTCTTACTTCTGTTCATACAAATTAGAGCTGGGCAATATGATCTAAATTTTATATCACGGTATTTTCAACATTTTCACCAGTTTCACAGTATTTGACGGTATTTTTCTTTTCATCACAGCTRAGCTGATAATAAAATGTACAAACCCTGCTTATTGACTTTTTTCTTTTACTGTACCTCTGTCAGGGTCTCTGTTTCCCTCCTCTGTGTCTGTTCTTCTCTGAGTGGTGGTTGGAGACAGTAGTCACGCATTTTGGTCCAGTCGTGAAGGAGGAGGGTTAAGTAAAGATTATGATCGGGTTTATTGTTTTATGTTATTTATTAAAGCTTATCAGCACGACTCACCTTGCACACCAGTCAATTCCAACTCCACTACGAACTACTTCCTGCAGGCTTTTCACAATAAAACCACGTTAAGTCTCCATCAGCATAACGTCTCCATATTAACTAAACGTGTTAAATCTAACTGTGCACGTCACTGAAGAGGTGTTTACTACATTCAGCGACGGCGAAAACAGGATTTTTTTTTAAAAGTCAGTCAATATAAGCAGCGGAATCACCACCCGCGGCTGCAACTAGCTGCTCCAAACATTAACATGCTAACGCACATAGGGGTGCAGCAAGGAAAAATGTCCCCTGGGAAACAACAGTTCTCTGGCGGCCACAACGAAACGTTCCGCTATTTAAACTGGAATGTCCGGTATTCAAAAAATTCATATAACAAAAATAAAAACCGGTATTCGGTACAAAACGGTATACCGCCCAGCACTAATACAAAGGGTTCGTACGAACATGCCACGTCAGATTCAACAAACTCTTCTCTCTTCAGGAAAAGTGTGTCTTAATGAGCTGCGTAAATTTCACCTGTTCATATCCAGCTGCTCGTGCACGTGAGAGGATATTTGTATAATTACCACCCCAAAAACACCATATAAGGCTATGTTTCCTGCCTCAGCTACAAGGAAGTGTCCATTCATGAAAATGACAGCGAAAACTAAAAAGAAAAAATTACGAGTTCAGAGATTGAAGTCCGTCTGTCAGAGATCCAGAAAAGAAAATCTCATTTTAGCAGGTCAGCTGTGGAATAAAA